GCCAGTACCCATGCAGCGGCAATTACAGGGGAGGCATCTGCAACGCGTCCGCAGATAATGATGTCTGCGCCGGCTTCCAAGCCCTTGACAATTGCCCGGGCGCCAAGGTATGCATTTGCGGAAACCACAGGTTTACCTGGGTGTCCAAGAGGTCGTTGGTGTGCGCCTGCGTCTGGATTTCCGGGTTGCTGGAGTCGAGGTGGGCGGGTAATGTGCCTGTCTTGGTGAGGCTATCTCGTACCTCGTCGAGGAGGTTGTCGCCACCAACATATGCGACTTTGAGGTCATAGCCCCGGCTGCTTACTAGTTTCTGGCATTCAACAGCCAAACCTTGGGGGTTCAGGGCGCCCCCGTTGATAATTATTTTGATCCGCTTTACCGCGATGGCATCTATCGATTGCTGGATGCCATCCCATGCGTACGGATCATATCCAGGATGCTGTCCGGCTGCCATTGACTCCGCATGCTCGGCAAGGTTCATTTCTAGATCATGACATAACATGGTAGAGTTGAAAATTTTCTCTCTTCCAAACACATAGAAACGGGGGGTAGCTCGCATGATTTGCTCCTGCAATTACACACCTGCAAGATAATCTCCAGTAATGAAATCCACATCTCCAAGCGTTGCTTGCCGCAGCATTTGATATCCAGGATCGCCTATGACCGAGGGATATATTTATTAGTCTAAATTACGTTCAAACAGACAATATCTACGAGATATCATAAGGAAAAGGAAAATGAAGGGGAAAAAAGCCAACCTCGAGCTCCCGAGCAATTAGCAATTCGAACGGGACGCTGCCCTTTCGATGCCCATACCGAGGACGCTTCATTGTCCAGCATTTTTATATCTTTAATCTTCAATTGTCATATCCTTTTTAATTTCACTAGGCCAAAAACCCGCGCCCCGGCAGGCACACAATCGAGGAGCAGTTCAGCGAGTGTAGAGCTACAACAGAACCCGACGTTGCTAAATCGATCATCTTGGATGAGACTTTCGTTTTATATCCTGGGTCAAATATGTTTGTTATTCTCCAGTCCTGGCCCGGGGCAATTTTAACCCCTCTCTTGGTGGTAGGTTGTAGCAAAAACACTGGCTCTGGCTATAGTAACCTCGGCCTCATTTGTCTTTTATCACTTCTTCCCAGAATCCCTCTGGGTTGCCTTCCAGCGACTCATGTAGGCAGTTTCTCAGCGCCTCCAAGCCCGAGCATAAAGCCAACCGACAGGCCCCTCGGCTATAATTCATTGATGAGCACCTGGCAGTGGGGTGGGTGACGATGTGGAGAGCAAGAAGGTTGGGACTCCTACGCTCCGGTTCCTATTTTAACTTCCTTGGTACGAGGGATAGGTAGTTTAATCATCTGCTTGCTCCGAGGATTTGACAGCTAGCTTGAGTCAAAGGTGACGGCGGTACATACATTTGCCATAGTGCACTCGTTCGTGTTTGAGAGCTTGCGACAGTATATGGCCTCAGATGACTCTGGAGCATGAAGGGAGGTAGGTCTCTTGAATGCGAGATATCGTGAGGATCTCTACAACCAGTAAGCGGTTAACAGATCATCTTCGCCAGAAACCGAGACTTTGCCAACTGTGATGTGGGACAAATAAATACAGCCAAAGGATCATGTACGAGTGAGTATTCATCAACCGGCCAACGCCACCAGTATTCGGCCCTGAAGAAGCCAGAAGTAGATCTGTAACCTCCAGATTTCGGTCCGGCAGCGATGTTATTGCGTGTTTCTGAGGTACTAATGCGCCAGTGAGATATATTCGCGATTCTGCTTACCAATTGCCAGGCAAGATAGTTAACTAAGCGAATTGGAATCGTTGGAACCTCGAGTCTTCAAAGCATGGATTAACCCAACACAAAGGACGGGCGAGCATCACCAGCCTTGCTTGTATGAAAGGGATTAAATAAATCGGCCCACGGGTGTTGCATCCCGCCCCCGAGTTGTATAAATACAGATAATCTTCCCCTTTGACTTCGTCCTTTCATTGTCCCTTCCCCTCCACTCGAACGAACTCGCCGCCTGCACCGCCGCACCAACTCTCAAGCCCAAGAATCAAGAAATACAAGACGGCATCGAAAGCAACCATGGCCGACACACAACATGAATACAAATTCAATGTCACCATGAGCTGTGGCGGCTGCTCCGGCGCCGTGGAGCGTGTCCTCAAGAAACTTGATGGTAAGCTGCTGGTTATCTTTGCGGGGTAACCTTGGCCTCAATGATAATCGCCCCTCCAAAAAAAAGAAAAGAAAAAGAAAAAGAAAGGAAGGAAGGGAAGGGAAAGGAAAGAAACAGAAACAGAAAAAGGAAAAAGACCCAAAATCATCACAGAAATCTATACAACCCTTCCACTCCGTCCCCCGCTTCTCATTTCATCCCCACCAAAATAATAACCTCCGCTACCTATATGATGTATCTCTTT